TTTCGGCCGTGACAGATCAAAGGCTGGCGCACGGATCGATTCGCGTCATACCCCTCCCTTCGTGAGATTGCTAGATGACCTTCGGACAGATCCACGGCTCGTTCCAGTCGGCTTCCAGCCGAAACTGAGCCGTCGCTGCAAATTCAAGGCTCACGGAATCTAGCCTAAACCCTGTCCCCGAACCTTCCTGGCCCGTTGCGGGGATTTCATGTTGTTCACACTTCGGTGATTTGTCTTTGGCGGGGGTGCCCTTCGACATCAACTCATTCCTTCTTCTTCTCGGTCTTTCCACTTAATTACGTTACTTACCAGCGGTTGTCAACAAAAGCCCACGGTTCTGGAACGAAGTCCATTTGGGTTTCGAGCCGAAACACACCCCATCTCGAGTTTCGAAGCTTTTCCTTAAGCCGCGCCTCCTCCGCCACTGCTGCGGTGCCCTCGGGCCTGCTGGGTGTCTCCGCGCGGGTCCTCGCCGGAATGGTCCGCTCTTCTTGAATTTATCAGGTTTGTCTAGGCCTGAAGGACCTTCGACCATATCGTCACACCACCAGGTCTTTGCAATACTACCACGATGGGCATCCTGCTAGAGCGGGGAGACCATGAGCAATGCAGGGACTGCAGCGGGGATCTTCCTCAACTTCTACCCTCCGCATGCTGGGTTTTGATGCCTGGCTCGGGCTTGAAGCTTTACCCTTGGGCTCCAAGTATACAAATAGTACCTACTTTGGGGTCTAAAGTCTGTAAATAGCACCCACTTTGGGCCATTTGGAGCCCCAGGGATACAGTGTCTGCAGGCCTACAAGTTCTGTCCAAAGCGCTAACCGGCTTCCGGTCGTTTTTGGCAAGTGACACGATACCAGGAGGTATCATTTTTAGCACGTAAAGACCGACAGTACTGGCATGATGCGTGTGATAGGAGCCATTCTCGATCCGCAACACCATCCACGTCTGAACTGGACTCTTACACCGAAGCCTCAAACTACCCAATCCGTTTGAACAGCCATCTCGAAAGTCGAACATGATGCTCGCAACAGCAAGCGTTCACCCAAGTAATCTTCACTACCCTTGTTCTAAAACATTGGTGAACATTTCTGTTTGTCGGAAATACTATACAATAAGTCGATGAGCAGTCTTATAGCCTCTTGGAGCGCAATCAAGATGGGGTTACCGTTCGACTGTTCGGTCTTAGCACACTGGACAACGCCTCCTACGTGCCAAGGGACCCCTCCAAGTGCACCAAGGACAACCACCACCCGAGAACGGCGCGTGTGCCTTCGACTTCCCCGTCTCAGAAAGCTCTGCCGTGTCCACTGGGGGTTGCCTTCGATTGGGCATGGGTGGGATGGCAGTAAAACCTAAACAAAAACCCGAAAGATCCAAAAGAAGTCGAAGGGGAAAGACCTCGAAATGCTTCAGGTTGAGTCTCTCAAGATCTTCTTGCGTGACGATCGTAGATATGGAAGCGACGAAAGAAGACGAGATGAGAGAGATAGAGAGAGAAAGACAAGCAACATGACAAATCCACATATGATCACAGGACAAGGGCTGCAAATTCGCCAGGAACTGCTCGGGTCCTAAGCCGAGAGTCTCTAGCTCCGTCGAGACTTGTGAGTCATGTTGGAAGATAACCTATAGGGTCATACCCTACCCCCTTTTTCAGGTACCTAGTTTTATGGTTAGGAACTGCTATATAAAAAATAGGTACCCCAAAAAAGGGGTAGGGTATGACCCTATAGGAAAGCACGAAACCCGCACTTCGAAATTCCGCGATGAGGCTTTGAGGCCTTTTGGGGCTTCCTTTCGCTGAGGTCCCCCTGTTGAAAACTTTCCTGAACCAGAAACACTTACAGATAGCCCCTCTCTAAGCAACAGTGAACCCTAAACCCTACACCCAAATCCCTGGACTTCTTGATTCATGTAAACCCGAAAGTGCATTCCGAGAGGCTTGGTGAGGACGCATCCAACGCCTGCTCCTGGGCAAAGCTGGCCCCCAACTTGTAGAACCCATGACCTCTGCCTCCTTGTCTGTCGTGTATGAATAGTTGCGGGCATGGATGCTTGATTTACCCTAGGGCTCCAGTTACCTAAATAGTAGGTTACTGGGGTACATAATATAGAGTTAGCAACCTACTATTTAGGTAACTGGAGCCCTTGGGTACTATAACATCCTGA